TCACAAGCAGGCTACGGTGTCTCGCAGCAGCACAGAAGCCGAGTACAAAGCAGTTGCTGATGCGACAGCTGAGATCATTTGGGTTCAGTCCTTGCTGAGGGAGTTGCGAGTTCCTTCGGTTCATTCTCCAGTGCTTTGGTGTGATAACATTGGTGCTACATACTTGTCATCTAACCCAGTGTTTCATGCTCGGACAAAACATATTGAGGTTGACTATCACTTTGTTCGAGAGCGTGTTGCACAGAAGCTGCTTAGCATCAAGTTCATATCATCAAATGATCAACTTGCTGACATCTTCACGAAGCCTCTTTCACAACCACAGTTTGTAGGCTGCAGGCGCAATCTTAACTTAGTTTGTACTTCAGGCCACAGTTAAGATTGAGGGAGGGTGTTAGACTGTATTTGTATATGTAGACTTGTGTATACGTGTTGTACTTGTACTTGTACCCTTTGATACTTATATATAATGAGATAGCCGCACCCCTAAAGGGTGTCATGCAGTTGCCCTAATATCTTGGTTATAACATGTCTTCCTTGTTTGATTGACTCCCTTCGATTCGTGACCGCTCGGGGTAATCAAAGGGGTGCCTCTACGCAATTCCTCGGCCTTGATGTGTCGTGTAATCTAGGGATTTGGTCTGTGAAGGTGTGGGTTGTCCATGGCAGAGGAAGGTGAATCAAGTCATTAGTTTTCCCCGAATGAAGGAGTTGAGGATCTTCTAGGGTGGCTGGAGTTACATGAGGATGAGGAAGAGGACGGTTTTGTTTGTGGAGAAGAGGCCGCGAGACCAGATATCCAGGCGAAGTGGCTCGCGATACTGAAGGTGCATACGGTGAAAGGGTTTAGTCCATCGGCGCCGCACTCGGATATGAGATTGATTTGGAATCAGGCTAGGGAAATGAGATGGAGGAAGATCGAAGATAATCCCTTTACAATATAGTTTGGGGTGCTTAGGTGATTGGAACATAGCTCTGAACTTGGGACCATGGTTATCCCGCAATCAAGCTTTGCTCATAGAGGAGTACTAGCGGGCAGTGCGCGGCGGCACGCCACGCTTCATAGATTGGTTCCAAAGTTGATTTTGCTTTTGTTTTTTATAATTTGTTGACCATTCTGCGTGTTTGTCTTTACAATGGTGCGAAAACAGTCGCACACTACTTATTTATTTATAAATTTTACATATAATGTAGACATGGATACAGAGACAGGAATGAGTGTGATACATTTACTGCTCAAATATTGTGGACCTCGGATCCATCTAACCTATGTGAGCTTCTTTTTGTTTAGTTTTGTTTCTTTGGGCCCTTTTTGCTTTCCATTTTTTGACCGAAAATCCTAGACACACGGAGAGTTACGGGCATCTCATGGGTCAACAAGGCTAACTATTCTTCTCTCCCCCTATTTTTAGTGGGGGTGGGGCCGCTTCTCTCCTAATCTCCAATCAAAACCCTTCACCTAATCACAGACCGTTGAATCCGTAAAAACCATCCCGTGTGTGTAGCATTGTGACATATGGCAAGAACATCCATGAAAAAAGAAAAGAAATATGGATATAACAAAGATTTATCTTTTCCGTTATTTTATTCACAATGGAAAACAAAAAAAATCTAAATATCTGGCTGTTTATATAAATATTATGACAATAGTATAAGCTCAACTTTCCAGAATTAATGCTAAGGTAGCGCCTTTAAACTAAAAAATCAACGGACAAATTTTCCTGATTTTGGTGGTACTGTTGCTGGCAGAAGAACAATGGTATTCAAATAACGCAAAGATGGTATATGTACCATTGAGCAACAAATATGAATAATCTAAAAACCTATAATCATTCTACAACTTGATCCTTACATAAGTACCACTGAATTTCATGTTGTACATCATATGTACTGAGGAAATATACGGAAATTTGGCTCTAGGGAGCACATGCTCCTGCGTGCCAAAAATGTAAGTTGCAATTTTTTCAGAGGAAAAAACTTAAGCATTTTCCTCGGTTGCGTATGCCGGTGACACGGCGACGGTGGCCTTCGTGGGATCCAAGCGACGGTGATCTCCCATGGTCTACTTCTCCTCGGTGTTGGCGGTGGCCGCGAACGTCCTGGCTGCCTCCGTCGGCCGGGCGCGGTTCTGCCAACGTTTGCGGTGGATGGCGCGTCGCAACAACGATGCACTGGACGCCGTGCCCCCATGCGTGCCGGTGTGGAGCAACTTGTTACTCCTCTGCAAGCCGGCTTGGAGCGGCGAGTTGCTGCACCAGGGCGACCTTTAAGCGGTGGCAGCCTCACCCATCGTACTGGCGGCCTGGGGTGAAAGGGAGGTGGAGCAGCGAGTTGCCTGGATCGTATCCGGAAGGCTCGCAGATCCACCCAGCCAAATTTTATGTTGGAGGACCCCTCTTCCTACTCAACAGATGCCATCAAGATTGTGGAGAAAATGGTGCAAGGAGGAGATGAAGAGCAGAGGTGTGGAGCGGTTCTTGCACAACGCCTGGCCTTGTTTAAATAGCAGGCGGACGTGAGGAGCAAGCGGCGAGACTGAGGGGTTTTTCCGTGGGTCAGGGCAGCCAGGAACGGGCATGGCACCGTCTCGGACGCTCGCAAAGCCTCCTAGTTTGTCTTCGGTTTGCAGGGGAAAACCCGTTAGGACCGCCCGAGTCCCGACGGATCGATAGAGACCCACATTGGATGACACAATATGTTTAGACCGCGCAGTCCGGACGTATGCGGAGGGTTTGAGGGTTGGCATTGTAGATGTCCTAATAAATAATTGCAAATGATAACTGCCACACATGTGACACGAAATAACACCACCATGGCGGTTTTACACTAAAATTGTCATAAAAAATTAAATTAAAACTTGCCATCCAAACAGAAAATTATCATGCTTAACAACTAAAATTGCCATCCTCGGATAACTATACTCGCCATCAAAAACCGTCAGGATGGAATTGCTTCGTGCCACATGTGTGACACTTATCAGGGTTCTAGATAATAGAGTGGTGCTACGTCTACAAAAAGGTTTTTATTTCAAATAAAAACGAAAAAGAGTAAAAAAACATTTTATTTATTTCTGAGCCAAAGGGTTTCCCCCGTTCCACGCAATTGATTGAAACGAAAACAGAGATCACAACGCCGATCGAGGCAAAGCCAAGGTAGCTAGCCAGTAAGCCAGCAAGGCAACATCCAGACCAAAAACGTTTTTTTAATCTTATTACAGGCCCAGTGACGAAAACTGACAAAGAGAAACTGCACCACGAAGCATGCACGTAGGGAGGGACGCACACCTCTAGTGGAATTTGCAAGTTGAGACACCGTTCCTGAAAGCTGCGGGCAGGGTGTCCGGTGTGATGTGAGGGCACCCCTCGACGCGCAGATGAATGGCACCTGTGCAGCGCCCGAGGCCCGACAAGGACGACAGCAGCGGGCAGTCGGCGATGCTCACGTCCCTGAGCAGGGGGAACGCAACTTTGGGCATGTCATTGTCATTCCACGCCACCAGTTCCTTCATGTCGTCCAGCACGATCTTCTTAAGCTTCGGGAACGCGCCGCCGCCGCAGAAACCGCCGTCGATCCTCGCAACAGCACAAAGCTCCTTGATTTCGAGAAGCTCAAGGCACGGGAGCTGGCCCAGGGCAGGAAGGGCCTTGAGCTTCCTGCAGTTCTTGAGGTACAGGCGCGTCAGCTTCTCCAGTCCGCTGAGCCAGGTAGGCGACGTCTCCCCGGGGTACCTCGCGATACGAAGTTCATGGAGGTAGCGGTGGGGCTGGAGACCTTGGAGGACGGCAGCAGCAGAGCTTCGGGCGACAGGTTCTCCGCGGCGCGCATCCGGGGCCCCCCATTGAAGCTTCAGGACCTTGACGGAACACTTGTTGTCAAGCCGAGCCTGCTTGGCTTCCTCTTTGCTCGCGACGGCGTCCAGGCCCTTTATGCTCAGCGTCTTCCCAAGGGACTTCATCCCGGCCAGCTCCCACAGGCCGTGCCCTTCCTTCTCCGATCCCCTCATCACCTGGAACTCGATCGACTCTCGAAGTTTAACCAGCCTTCCTATGCCACTTATGTTGGTGATGCACTCTCTCTTCTTCCCTTTGTCCTCCTGGCCCACACTCAGTGTCTGAAGAAACACTAGCTTGGTGACTTGATCACCGAGATCACTGCTGACGGTGCTGGGAAGGCCTAGGTACCTCACATGTTTCAGCTTGCCAATACTCGCTGGAAGTTCAGTTATGCCTGTCTCTGTCAGATCCAGTACTCTCACACCCTTGAATTGTTGGAGTTTATCTTTGTCAATGGCAGCGATACCATCATCATCACCATCATCCTTTAGGACTATCAACTATCAAGGTCCACAGATTGCCGAGTCCTATGGAGTACTCATTCAGCTGATCAAGGCAGCCGCTGGTAACTGACAAGTGGCGAACCCTTGGAGGGATGCTCGTCTTGTCTGCGGTGCTCGCACGAGAGATGCTTATGCAGTTCTTGGAGGAGGCATCACGTATCATCCGATGAATGTGCTCGTGAATCACGTAACGATTATGTTTGTCTCCTCCGCCCTTGCTCTGTTCTAACGACTCGAACAAGGAGCGGTCCACCAGCTCTTGGAAGTAGCCTCTGGCAACGTCTTCCATGCTGCTCATCCCATTTCCAACCTGAGGATGATGGGCCTTCTCCTCGACGAAACCAAGAGCCATCCACATCTTGCTCAGCTTCTCAGGCTCAAACCTCCAACTGTCTGGGAATATGTTGCAGAACGCGAAGCAACGCTGGAGGTGCGGTGGCAGATGGTCATAGCTGGCGAGATGGCTTGCTACTACGCCGGCGATGTGGCATTCGATGTTTTCCAAGATGCCTCCGCGCCGCTCGCGCCCGCAGCCTGCCTTTCGTGCCTTCAACTTCTCGCCGATCTCTATGGCCGCCGAAGGGGACCCCTTGAGCTTGAGCACCCCCTGGATGCCGCTGGTACCATCGGCGCTGAGATTTGCAGTGTCGTTGAGCAGAAGCATCATCTCTTCAGGTTTGATCCCATTCAGGAAGATGGTTTCTTGTGCGCCTAGTTTCGTCGAACAAATCCTGGATCGCGTCGTCATTACGATGCGACTCCCGACGCCCACGAAATCAGTGAAGCAGCGCAGCGCATTCCTTCTCTCGCTCTCGTTGATGTCCTTTTCGTGGCTCCATACATCATCCAGCACAAGCAGGCACCTCTGGGATGCCAGTTGTGCCTTGAGCTTGTCCTGAAGGCTAGAAATGTTCATCTCCTGGACTGATTTTTCGCCGACGGCCGACTTCCAAATCTCTGCCAGAAGGTCGAACTGAGCATTCTTGCCGTAGGCAGGCACCCATATGGGCCGATCAAACTTGCCTCTGACATGGCGGTACGCCTGGCGAGCAAGCTCGGTCTTCCCCATCCCGCCATGGCCTACGAGGGAGATAACCTTCTTGTCCTTGCAGTTGCCGTCCCCGAGCATGGAGACTAGCTGCTCATACTCGTCGCGGTACCCGAAGAAGAGCTTCTTTTCCCTTACTGGCTCCGGGCCCAAGGGTGCTCTGCAGAGTGCAGAAAGTACAGCACGCCGAGTGCTGGGATTCTCGCAGAGCTCTCGCATCCTCTCACGAAGCTCCCCTAGATTCTTGAGCACTTCCTTGAGCTGATTCAGTGACGGACCACCGGTGTTGGTGGTGAAAATCCACCAAGAATATGCGGATTTCCTGCCACTGCTGCTAGCACTGCCACCACCACCGCCGGAGCGCTTCTTAAGGTTTTTAGCCGCCTCGGCCTCAAGGATATGCGACTCGAACAAGTCCAGGATCTCCTCCGCGTCATGGATGGCATCCTTGAGACTCCACAGACGGTTGACCCAGGTCCTGTCGTTGACGGAGCCCCCCATAATAGCTGGATCATCCAGGAAGTCCTTGATGTCCCCCAGATCTCGCGCCAGTTTCAGCAGCTTCTTCCTCATGCCCCTTGGCAGCTTGTACTTGCTGGAAGCGCAGGACCGTGCGACCTCCATAAACTTGGTTATGTGCGGCGAGACGAACCATCCCACCACCGCAAGTGCAACAGCCACTTCCGGCCCCATGGCGACGATCGACGAACGCCGGCCCGGAGCCTAGCTAGCAGTTGGCACCTCACCTGCCAATTATTGCGTAACTATAAATAAAATTAATTAATGATGGGGATTGGGGAGACGACAACATGTCCCTACGAGCCGAGCCATGGATCCGAAGAAGATGATGAATGAACGATTTACTAGTGCGTAGTACCTGAGGCTCAGAAGAGCATGGAGGCAGATCCGAAACGACGAAGCCAGCCACAGTGTATCCTCCCGGCGACCGATCACCACAGCCCAGCAAGCTCAAATACCGCATGCTACACGCTCAATGAAAGATGATGTGCGATCGAGATCTCATCCTGTTCTACCAAATGGAGAGAGAGAGAAGAGAGAGAGAGAGAGGACTGACGAGTGAGAACGGATGGAATGAGGAGGCCATCCATGCATGCACAAGGACTAATCAAAGTCGTCGAGTCAACCGTTGGACAGCTCGTTAAGGTTTATATTTGTACAAAAGAAATGGGTAGTGGCTGTAGGAGACGCGCCTGCGGTTGGTGGGTCCACAAGAGACAGAACTCAAGAGCAGTGCCTGTCGGCGACTAGCCGGAAGAGTCGATGGTTAGTACAGTAGGTAATTTCGTACGAGAGAGCTAGTGGTATCTAATTAATCTGGGGTGACACAAGGAAGCTGCTCGGGGTTTGCCGGTGGAGAGAACTATGGCCCGGCAACGTTCTAGAATCACTTGGCACAGCAATGGTGGTGCCAATATTCCACCATTCTAGCACTCTCGCTGAACTTCGTGGGAGCTGCATGCAAACCACCAAGTTCTCCAGACTGAATCGATGGCGCAAACCGCTCGCAGGACAACTTGCTCTCAATCTTGACGCTGCTTTTTCTGAGAAGGATTACACGGGAGCGTGCGGAGCTGTTGTCTAGGACAGCAAAGGTAGGTGCGGCCATTGCCAACTTGGAACATGTTGCGGACATTGTGTCCGCTCCGCTGAAGCCGCTGCCAGCTTTTCTTGGGTCCCTCCGCCTCATAATATAAGAGCATTTTTGATAAATGTAATGTTAAAAACGCTCTTATGTTATGTGACAGAGAAAGTAGGTTTTAAGGGCAACTCCAACAGCCGCGCTACGTGCAGCACGCTCACAAAGCTTTTGTAGCACGCTGTTCGCTAGTTTTTGCGCGGCGCGGAGCGCTTGCTGCAGCAGCTGCGCTGCAGTTTAGCGCGCGTGAGCCACTCCAGCAGATGCGCTAAACTGCAGCGCGCGCGAGCAGCCGGCGCTTGCCATATGTTGCGTTTTGGGACGATTGATATTTGAAACATGAAAACAAAGACATGGCATATAGTTTAAAATCACCCAAACAAGTTCGACATAAAGGTTCAAATTCATGCCCACGACATCATCCAACCAAATTCAAAATCCGAACGAAGTTCATGACATAAAAGTTCACATAAACGAATGGCAAATCAACAATCACGCCTCATCCTCGTCTTCGTCCTCCTCTTCCTCCGATTCATCTTCCTCATCCGAAGACGATTCTTCATCCTCCTCTTCATTGCCGCACGCCGCATTGCGACGACACCTTATGAACTATGGTTTGGCAAGAAACCCAAGTTGTCGTTTCTTAAAGTTTGGGGCTGCGATGCTTATGTGAAAAAGCTTCAACCTGATAAGCTTGAACCCAAATCAAAGAAATGTGTCATCATAGGATACCCAAAGTACACCTTCTATCACAGATCCGAAGGCAAGATATTCGTTGCTAAAAATGGATCCTTTCTAGAGAAGGAGTTTCTCTCGAAAGAAGTGAGTGGTAGGAAAGTAGAACTTGACCTGAAAGTAGTTCCAGTGATTCCTACACCAATAAGTGAGGAAGCTAATGATGATGATCATGAAACCTTCTGATCAAGTTACTACTGAACCTCGTAGGTCGACCAGAGTAAGATCCGCACCAGAGTGGTACGACAATCTTGTTCTGAAACTCATGTTACTTGACCATGACGAACCTACGAACTATGAGGAAGCGATGATGAGCCCAGATTCCGCAAAATGGCTTGAGACCATGAAATCTGAGATATGATCCATGTATGAGAATAAAGTGTGGACTTTGGTTGACTTGCCCGATATTCGGCAGGCCATAGCGAATAAATGGATCTTCAAGAAGAAGACTGACGCTGACGGTAATATTACTGTCTACAAAGCTCAACTTGTTGCAAAAGGTTTTCGACAAGTTTAAGGAGTTGACTACGATGAGACTGTCGGTGTCAAAACCGGTGGATCTCGGGTAGGGGGTCCCGAACTGTGCGTCTAAGGCGGATGGTAACAGGAGGCGGGGGACACGATGTTTACCCAGGTTCGGGCCCTCTTGATGGAGGTAACACCCTACGTCCTGCTTGATTGATATTGATGATATGAGTATTACAAGAGTTGATCTACCACGAGATCGTAGAGGCTAAACCCTAGAAGCTAGCCTATGGTATGATTATATGTTGTCCTACTGACTAAACCCTCCGGTTTATATAGACACCGGAGGGGGCTAGGGTTACACAGAGTCGGTTACAAGGAAGGAGATCTACATATCCGTTTTGCCAAGCTTGCCTTCCACGCCAAGAAAAGTCCCATCCGGACACGGGACGAAGTCTTCAATCTTGTATCTTCATAGTCCAACAGTCCGGCCAAAGGATATAGTCCGGCTGTCCGGAGACCCCCTAATCCAGGACTCCCTCAGTAGCCCCTGAACCAGGCTTCAATGACAATGAGTCCGGCGCGCATATTTGTCTTCGGCATTGCAAGGCGGGTTCTTCTTCCGAATACTCCATATAGAAGATTTCGAACACAAGAATAGTGTCTCGATCTGCAAAATAAGTTCCGCACACCACCATAGAGAGAATAATATTTCCACAAATCTAATCAGCTGACACGTTTAGCAACATGACATTATGCCATGGCCCGGTCTTTATTCGAACCGTTTTTCTCAACAAGCACTGCACATATTGCGAGGCAGTTTTCTTGACATGTCTTGTCGAAGCAGAGATCGTGTCCCCCTTATTACGGGATTCTCATCAATACAGACGTGGGTAACCCAATCGTGCTCGTTCGTATGACTCCTTGATTTTGAGCAAGTCCCAAAGGGCCACGAGGAGGATGCTTGATATTCGCCCTCTTTATAAAGAGGCCAAGGCCCGTCCTTTTCTCTCTCTCGTACTCAATCGAATCCTTCCCCCGCCTCGAGTTCCAACACCCAATGCTTAGGTCAGGCGCTTCGGACCTTCAACCATGTTCGGATCCAACCTTCAAGGTCGGTGGATGCATTCCTCTGTGACAGACGAGGACATCAAGAAGCTAAGAGAGGCCAGATATTTGACCGACGAAATCTGGCACAGGCTGCCTGCTCGAGGGCAGGTCATTCCCACTCCCAAACCCGACGAGAGTGTTGTATTCATCTCTCACTTCCTCAGAGGGCTAGGCCTCGCTCTGGATCCCTTTGTTAGGGGGCTCATGTTCTATTATGGGTTGGATTTCCATGACCTGGCCCCGGATTCCCTCCTTCACATCTCATCGTTCATCGTCGTGTGTGACGCCTTTCTCTGCATTACCCCACACTTCGGCTTGTGGCTCAAGACTTTCAATGTGAAGCCGAAGATGATCGAGGGGCGACACGCAGAGTGCAGAGGTGCCGTAATAAGCAAAAGTGCTGATGTTCCGTGGCCAGAGGGTTCCTTCCCAGAGGTGTCCGGTTTATGGAAACAGGAGTGGTTTTATATCACAGCTCCCCGAAGTGCCAAGTGGGTAGCCGCCCCTGCCTTTCGCTCGGGCCCCCCATCACAACTGACGTCATGGATCAACAAGGGGCTGAACTGGGGGCCAGTAAATGATGTGCCGATATTGCAGAGTCGCATCCGAGATCTCCTTGAGAGAGATGTCAGCCTGGTCACGGTAATGCAAGTCATGCTAGTTCGTCGGGTCCCGCCTTGCGAACGTCGACCCCTCCGTATGTGGGAGTTCAACCCGGAGGCACCGCGAATTATTCAGCACTTCCTCGGCATGACGCTCGAAGAGATGTATAAATTGTTCTTCGAACCACAAATAAGGTGTCTGGACACCACCGAGGATGTGGGTCTGAGCTGCAATCGCCCAGATACCCAAGTAAGTAAGCCCGTGGCCGAACACGCTGTCTTTTTATTTATCATAACATCATTCTGGAAAGTCGCTCTTTGACCAGGACTGGGTAACAAAGGCGAATATGATCAGGTGTTCGGGCCCCCTTCCCGAAGGTTCAGCAAATCCAGTACTAGCCAGAATGCTCGAGCCGGCGCCTTATCAGGCGCCCTAAGGGGAAGATAAAGGGGAGAATAAACAGGCTGAAAGCGGGCCTCGCTTATCATTCATCCAAATCGGGGGAATTAGCGCCTCCACGAAGGAGGATAACCAGGGAGAAGAATCTGAAATCCCCTCTCCGCAAGGAAGAGGACCACCTCTGAAGACCCGGAAACAAAGGTTTCCAAACGGGGGAAGAAATCTTCGCCAGAGGGTCCTGCCTCGGAGGGTACTCTTGTCGTACAGTGTTCGCAAGGGGATCAGCCCTCTACCGAGCAGTAAGTAAACAAAAAGTACTTAATAGTAAAAATATCCTACATTCCTTCTGAAGATAATAACCGAAGCATATATCTTGCAGTTCGGATCGTAGCCCTTCTCGACAGAGTTCGTCTTCGGGGGATCTTCTTCCGGAGATGATGGAGAGCGAAACACCTCCCCCTGCCACCCCGCCTCATGAGGCGGGCGACCCTAAAGTGTCGTTGCAGAGGGTTTCTCCTGATCCGCCAAGGCCAGAGGGTAATCCTTTGGCCACCCGAAATCCTCAGTATTCGGCTCCTAAGGAGAGCAACAAAAATAGTCTGGAACCATACAGTGTGCGGTCGGACTCACTGAAGGATCTTCTGGAGCAAGCGGCCATCTCAGAAGTGCATCGTACGCTAATGGGTACGGTGATTGAAATGATTTCATCCGCCGAAAGCGGGTT